CGCAATTTAGAAAACATAACAAAATAAAAGCCCGCTAGAGTACATTTCTGGGTTGTAATCGACACCTCCAGCAGGTAACTATTTGATTGAATTTAAGTTAATTAACTCGATACAATTTAATTAAACGGTAATAAAATCCCAACGTTATACAATTTAACCGAGTTTAATTAAACTGTAATTAAATTGCATTTCTTTATACTTTAATTAAATTTAATTGAGTTTAATTAATTGATTGAAGTTATTATGTATATGGTTATGTATGCTTTCACTCATATTTACTCCTGTGCACAGTCCAAGCAACTTTCAATACTAACTCGTTGTTGTTTTTTAAAAAGAAACTAAATAGTATTGTATGCAAGCAAACGAATGTTTTCATTGATATCGTTGTACAAGTATTGAAAAATTGGTTCGCATTATGACTCAGTCATGACAGTAACTGGGGTAAAAATGTTGTATTCACTGGTCCGTATATCCTGGCTGTTCTCACAAGATAGTTACTTGGATCATACGCGTATCATTGATGGCTTTATCAGTAAAGGTCAAAGTTCAAGGGCTCGGACTTGGGATAGCCCATTTTTTTTAAAGGAATGTGTCCGTTTAAATAAAACGAGCGTTGGCGAACCTTTCTGAGCCTGCGACAACATATGGTCGGTATCTTCGTGTATTGATCTAGTTATTGAGTAACACGTGTAGGGGGAAGTTGTGAGTGCATTAACTTTCACGAAAACACGCGACCTTTCTGCAAATAAAAATGTCCCTCGAAGAAACTGGAGCTTAGCGTATACCCCCGGTCAAACAGTGAGTAACACCCGATACGGTGCCGATGTTAAACATAGCAGAGTACAGATATCCCACAACGGAGGGACATTTACTAACCGCTGAATTTCGACATGAACACTTCATGGGTTGTGTTAATTTGTCTGTTGCTGTTAGTAGCGTCAATCGACGCTGGCAAAAAGGGAAAGAACAAAGAGAAGAGACGCAAGCAAAAAGCCGCAAAATGCGAGACAATCTCCACTATGGCATGTACTCGTAGTGTACCGGACTTGCCTTACAACAAGACGCGGCTACCGAATATCATGGGACACGAAGATCAGCTCGAAGTTAACGCAGAGATAGATCAATACTGGTCTCTGATTAAGATGGGGTGTTCCCCGTACATTGGTTATTTTATCTGTTCTGCATTTCTTCCTGAGTGTCCAAAGAAAAAGAAGATGAAGACGATACCCCCATGTAGAGAACTTTGCATTAAGGTAAGTGCCCATTGTCTTTTCTACCTGGGAATATAAAACATCGTGTTTTAACATTCCTTGAACACTCCAAAATGACTTGTTCATCTCTCTCCAAATCCCCTGTCCAAACTTCTTTGCAAATCGATAGAGTAGTATTTCATCCAGTGTCTTTGTTGATGACATTCCATAATGTGTTTACTCGGCTATTTTCTCGCCTTCGTTGGTACGTGACATTCCGTCACTCGTACGTTCTCTATAGACATGCCGACTTTAAGTAATTCCAAATGTTTTTGAATTCCTAATTATGGAAAACGGCTTGGACAGTTTTGACCTCGGTCTGTTACAATCCAAACGGCATTGTGATTCAATGTAAAGCAGCATAGGGGTCCTGTTTGCAAACAATTCGAAGTGTCGCGGTAACAAACCCAAACTACAATGTATAAGTTTTATCACGATTATCAACATATTGTTTCGTGAAGAAAGCAGCATGGCGTCAACATTGACATGTAAACCAGTAATGAACACGTTTTCTCGTAAGTCCTATCATTAAAATACGTTAATCTCAATCTGGTGTGTAAACACAATCTAATACACCGACCTTGACTATTTTAAGCAAATCTGTAATTTATTTATTTTGTTCTATTTTATTTTTATCCTGTAAACTAGTACTTAGTAGTTTATATCATGCATTTATCGATAGTAAATACCTCATTTTAATAATTGAAACGAGTGTATTACTGGTGTTTATAATTTGAATCGGGTATCCTAGTTCAATAACTCCGACCATGGAGGTATGTATACCTTCCATACTCTGTGCTCAAAGGTAAGGTCTGGTCCACGAACCACTGCAGGACTTGATCCATACGTGTCGTGATAAAATACCGATGGTTTTATATTAATTCACAACGAATATCGTATAATATTTACATCGTAATATATTGGGATCATGCGAATACCATGACGAATGTCTCCTTTATGATGTATTGCAATATGGAACGAAATGTCTCCATTCATTCCTTCCTGTCAGTTTATACTTCAGAAGCGCACACAATTCTGCTCTGCTCTTCTTGCGATTTGTAATTTAAATACATCGGCGAGTTTACTGTGTGCATGTTTGTACCGTGACTCTGTTTGTAACCATAGCCTGTATCAATGCTGTAGAGTATAGACCGAACGCTTTACAATACCAAACATTGATATCCAATGTGTTGGACACATTGCGTCGACTCTCTGCTAAGAGTAAGACAGGAAAGTCCACACCAGACCGGACGAAGTAAATTAACTCACAAGAAAGGCTTAGTCATGTAAAACTAATTTATTCTTTACGGAAGAGACAAAAAATAGTGATACCATGCTAGTATCCATAGAGGTGTCGTTAAACTGTTCATGACTTGAGTAATTCTGGTTGCCATGGACCTTCAATGACCTTCAATGGATAAAACTCATACTGATAAATTGATGTTCATCGAGTTGAGAATTTGTTACCGCACTAAACTGAAAAATCGCTTCTTGACATGTGGAGAGATAACTGAATGGTGCACTGCTGTATTCTAAAGCTATTCAGTGGCTTTCATTGTTAAATATATCGGTATTCCATAATTCAATTCCTCGCATTTTTATGAAATTAAAAAAATGGCAGGCTCTTGTAAGAGATATGCGAGTATTTAGCACGGAATGACATCGAGTACTGACGGTTAGTAGCTTGATTTAAATGAGATGCATGTGTAAGTCGTTACTCTGTCCTCATTATGTGTTATATTGTATGACAACATATCCCGGAGCAGATACCGAATACTTGCACGATTAACGATCTCTCAGAGCCCCTAATTGAAAACACAGTCCTTGTCATATATTATCAGTGGGTATCGTGATAATATGTGATGGTCCCATCACAATGGGTTCACAGGAAACGAATGTCGCCCTCGAATGTCAATTGTGACTGAGGCTATGTCGATCATTGCTGGTAGTTTGACTATTGTCCATGTTATCAGAGTAAATATATGGCATATAAATCTAGTGATAATTTTGTTTCAAGAATATATTTAATTTCCATTAACACGTTGGTTCTCGGAGTTTTTATGTGTGGAAGAGTTCAAATTGGTTGCTAGCGTTTCCAGATTCCACGGTAGGACCGCGTAATGCTTGGCGACCTGTGGTGATTACAGTCAACGCGGGGTTCCCATGCGGAAAATCAAAGACTTATTTATCTGTAGCAACGTCTCGCGATGCCGGATGGTACAATTATACATTAATCTTACATTTTTCAATTTACGTTCAGGCAAAAGAAGGATGTGATGAAGTGCTACAGTCTCTGGATTTGGATTGGCCAGTGGAGTTGTCATGTGACTTGTTCCCTCGTTACGACGAGAGCAAAAGTAAGAAAAAAGGACGCGCAAACTGTTTCAACTACGAACCAGGTAAGCTTTGTTTAGGGCGTATGAATAATCATGATGTAAGCGTGATCAGACACACATGGTAAGAAGCACTGTCTCTTGAACATTGGAAATTTGTATGTTGAAACGTAATGTAATAAAATTTTCCAGTGTACACAAATCATCTCTAATCGCATCTCATGTGCAAGACGTACCAAGTATGTATACGTCAACCACATGACTGTATTGTATTGTATATTGTATGTATAAAATACACTTATATTTCGCATAAAGGGGAATATAGATCAACTAGTTCGTCGACGACTCCCACTAGTAAAGCAAAATAACAGCTCTATGACTCTGTTATAGTAGTCGTCTTATCGATTACCTGAGAGTGGTCTAAAAATTAGGCATTTACTACGATGACACGTACTCGTATAAATACCGTCATTACATGTACCGATAGTGACCGCATTCCGTGTATGGTAACCCAGCAACCCACGTTTGTCGGTTGATTCCCGTTATCTGAAGATATGTAGTTGCATGCTCTTTTCACACCTCGTAAACTACCAGTCATTACGCCCCATTGCACCAAACGTCGGAGGTAAAATTGTATCCCTATTATTTGAACATAAATTCTTTCGCTGATTACTGATTCGAGTGACTTTTCTGCAGATGTTGCGAACGTTACAATTGATCATGATACGGACTTTGTTTTACCCATAATATCGCATTCGGCATCTATAATGTCATAATATACTTGGTATGGACTGCAAGCACCGTTCTACGCTGTAGTAGCTTTTATTTTAGCGCTTTCGTCATAATAATTTGTTTTAGAAAATTTAAAACACGACTATAATTTTATGATCGATAACTTGAGCTTTTGTACATTGAAAGGAAATAAAGTTTTGCGTTTACTCGACAAATGAATGACCATCTGCTTGAGATTTGATTATAATACATTCTTGTCCCATGTCACTCACTAGTATAGATATGTACGTTATTTATTTGAAAGTCGGGGTAGCATGTGGTAAAAATAAACTGCGCATCAGCGTAGAACTTGGTGTCAATATAAACACTTTATTATAAACAAATATACGTGAACATGTGTGAATAATCAGTTTTTTACAAACTTCCTTGGACATTGCACATGTAAAATTAAATCCGTATTTAGCTCCGCTTTCGACTTTGCCGAGCAGAGTTAATTATATTACTGATTTTCCGTCCTCGTCCTACATCGTAGTCGTCGCCCGCGTCAATTTTTTGCTTTTTTGACTTCTTGAAAACCGCAAGTCTGATTGTTTTGATATCATACATATAGTTACCTCGAGTGGACCTATCGAATTTGTTCATTTCGTGATGATATCTTCAATTTTCCAATTTTGACATTTTTTGGCATTTTTAGTAAAATGTTATATGTTCCACTTCTTGTTGAAAATGGCAAGTCTGATTGCTTTGATATTATACATATAGATACCTCAGGTGGACCAATTTCAGATTTGTTCATTTCGTGATGTCTTCAATTCTAGTAATTGAAATGAGCGGGACAATCTCAGCCGAGAGGCTGCTTATTACATATACCATCGTTCGGGTTATGTTCATGTTAAATGCGCTAATTGACAATTAAATAAAAAAATGCATAACATTCCGCAAATATTTCTATAATATATTTCTATTTTCTATATAAACTGTTGTAAACATTATGAATAACCGGTTTCTCCAGTGTAATGCATGGTTGTCTTCTTTTTTTTCTTTTTTTTAGTTTTGTTTATATAGTTTTGTTCCCAAGTCGTAATATACTGCATATCAGGATCCGCGCTAGTTTTGAGCTATAGTGGTTATACAGGGTGTGCAATCTTTCACCCAACCATGCGTGAACCTCTTAAACACATGTCTGATGAACACATGTATGCGTTATCGAGTCAGTGAAATTTCAATGGACTACCATATCGATGTTATCTACTTCATGTCTGCGGCTATAATACGTGCTCCTGGCTAACATTGTGTTAAGTGGCACTGTCAACAGAACAGGGAGCCTGTTAGTATCATTCAATTAAAATGTGAAAGTGAGACGAGGTCTTTCAGTCACCCGCTCTTGTATGTACCGGTCAATCTAAGCTGTCTGTCACGGCGTGGTGCGTGGTGTAAACATTGCACTATCGGATGAAGACCACGGGGCGCGCCGTGACGGTGTATCCCTTACAATATACGAATTAATTTTCACGTAAGTTTGACTACAAATAAAGTTGTCATTGTGGGCCTCCTGTCGAAACAGTGTCAACGTTTAGAGTTCAATTACGCTTCTAGCAACCGTGATTCAACTCGCCTGTCAGATCCAGAGACAGACTTCCATCTATTTTTTTCAAGGAACCTTCAAACCACGGATGCCCTCAAACTGATTGTGATTTCAATTGTGAACGAGTGTCTGTTCATTCTTCATACGTTTTCTTCATTTCAAGTGTTGCCAACAAGAATGATACCGGCTCCTCGCGTTTTGGAAAATCCAATGTCCATGACGATTATGGTGGGTGAAATACTTGAGTTGTCTTGCCGCGCTGAAGGCGAACCACCATTACAGTTTGCGTGGAGTAAGTTAGAGGGCGCTATTCCAGCAGACAGGTAAGTCTAATTTCTAGGTTTCGCCTTAGATTATTATTGAAAAAGAAATTTAACAGGCGACTCTCCCAAAGAGGACAACATCAAGCTTTTTGAATATTTCATATGCTTAATTTTGGTCTCTCTGTAACACATTCTAAGAAATGTATAGGACGTTCTATTATAGAGCGCTGCTTTACACCCCGAAGTAAGTTAACAGCTTGAATGAACGTTGTATATCTAGTTTTCAACGTAAGAAAGTTAGCGATATAATACTTTGGGATATTCGATGCACAAAAATGGCGCTAGCTCTAAGAAAGTAGTACTGGCGGACAAATCTAACATTAGTAAGGGATTTCACACTTATACTGTCATACCACTAGTAAAATTTGAAGAAAAAAAATGCGAAGTGTTTCCAGGATGTGTAATGTTGTGCTCCGATGTGTGATAGTCAATAATTGAAAATTTTGAAAAACAATGAACTAAACCGCGATTAATCACATTAATTCAGTGCGATACTGTTTCAATCAGAAAGGAGTTGGTGGAGTGTCGTTGCCATAGCCACCATGACAACCAGCCACGCACACAGCTAATTACTTCAACTCTCAAATCAGTCTGTGTAAAATGAATGCGCGATGTTACAAAAAAAAAAAACGTGTGATTGTTTTAGTTAGTACAAGAGCTATATGAGGAAAAAAATGAATACAAATTTTCAAAATCATGTTACGGAATATGATAAATTATTTTCGCGGACTATTTGGTACATCAAACCTCCACAAGTTGTGATCCAATGTGAATATTATTCCCATTTTCGCCGCCATTTTGATTTTTTATCGCCAACATTGATCGTTGTCCACCGACAGGAGTCTAATCAGCACCCAAGTGATAACTCTTACGCAACCTGATTCGACCAAAAGCACTTTGAGGATTCTTGACGCTGAGGGCGATGATAGTGGCACGTATATATGTATGGTATCCAACCTTGGCGGCACAATTGAAGTCAATTCAAGAATTGACGTACAAAGTAAGTGTGATTTTGTCTATCAGAACGCGCCTTTATAAAACTTGTTGGTGGTCCTCGCGCAGTGCGTGTTTAACAAGCAATGTATTTTACATGCGTTGTGCATGTCCCATATCGAACAGAACACGACGCGATGACCACAGCGCTTTAAAGCGGGGTCGTCAACTGCGCATGCGTCAGATGGCCATAGCGTGTCATTGTTTACAAACAAGCGTCCACCCATGAGCCTTTGCGTTTTTAGCGTGTGTTGTTATCATCGCTTGGGACTCAATTCCCGCGCGTGCGCAGGTGACGACCCTCCCGCTTTAACATGTGATGGCTCGCTGTTGACGAATACATAGAGGGATATGTAACTACTATTGATCACGATAATATCACAATTGCAGTGCCCCCCTCGTTTTCACGGAGACCGCAAGATACAGTCGTTAATGAAGGAAATACAGCTAGACTGCAATGTGAAGCTCATGGTTATCCAGATCCCCATATCACATGGTTTAAAGTTCATGATGTTTTAAAACCAGCTAGGTGAGTTCCGCTAATTCAGTGTTGTATTTACTACGAATATGTCTACATTAATAAGGAACAAAATTGCCGTGGCCGAGAAAAAAAGCAAAGAATAAAATAACTGCACAATTGGGAAAATGTAAATAATAAAATTACCACTAGCATTATGTGGATGAACTACTTGTTGTCAATGAGAAAACATTCTCAAGACCATAAGTCCGAATTGGTGATCCCTAACGAGCCATAGTGTGCTATGTACATTTCCATCATACCGCTGCAACCTCTACATCTGATATATCCAATGACCTAATAACGAATCAGATTTGTTACGTATTATCCGTGTTGTCCTATGAATAATTTCATCACTGATGAATTATTTTCAGGGGGTCCATGATGGATGACATATTATTTATTGCGGACGTTGGCGCCGATGATGCTGGTACTTATCTTTGTGTTGCAACGAACAGTGCGGGTTATCTTAATGTTACCGCTAGTTTAGAAGTTTTGAGTAAGTACATCGTTTTATTATGATTTTACAAACATGCTGACTCTGGACGCTCGGGGTATTGAAGGCTTCACATCACGTGGTCACTCGCCAGGTCGCCATAACATGAACCAGGTGATGCGTATCATATTTCATTTATCATACATTTCACGTCAAATACGTTGTTCTTAAAATCCTGTCATTCACATATCATTGTCTGAACGTTGTCCCCCAGCTATGCCTCGTATCGAAAACGTGCCTGACGACATGACAGCGGAAGAAGGAGGAGAAGTGACTTTCCACTGCGCGGCGTCAGCCATTCCGAAACCAGTTATTGAGTGGACAAAATCTCGCGGAGAACTGCCAAGTGACAGGTACGTATTTCATCATAGTATTGTAAGGTTCATGCAGCGCCACCAACCAAAGAAATTGTGACTGTCACGTGACATCTCCATTAAAGGACAGCGGTCGTCGTGCCGCGTCCTGTTCTATATGGGACTCATAGCGACGTACTAGTATACAACGCGTGTAAAATACATTGTTTATTTACATGAAATTCAAGCACGCGCTGCGCGACGACCACCGCGCTTTAAGTTCCTACATTCACGCACGGGAACGTAAACACATGTAAACCAACTGATTTGCCTTTTAAATCCAATCGTCAAAATTTCGAAAAAGATTTTGTCACAACGTTCAACAAAAATATATAACATGCGGATGTTTTATTTTTTCAAAATGAGTGATTACGAACATTTCAAATAAGGTTTGTTATTGCTTAATATTTGTAACTTTTCAATAACGTGCTCTACGGCACATGTCTCTGACTTTGTACTGATGCGTAATAGTAAAGGGGAGAGCTTGATTATCCAAATTATCCCCGATTTTGTGGAGGTATGTAGTTACATACTAAACCTACTGCGAATACGGACTAATCCAGTATTCTGGCAATAATACTTATTCCAATGTGTTTTTCCAATACAGAACAAATATCACCGTGAATGAAAATGGTACAACATTGCGCTTATTTAATATACAAACGTATGACGTTGGTATCTACACGTGTACTGCCAGCAACGTTGTTGGGAGTGTGACAGCTAATATTCTGTTCGAAGTACAAGGTGTGTAAAGGGCGCATATGATAATAGGAGTGAGGTGTCATTAACAAGCGTGTCCCCCTCATGTTGATCTGGTAAAATATCCATTTCTATGTTTCCAATTTGCGTATTTAACTTCTAGCGTGCGTTATTCTCCTGTCTTACAGTAAAACCATCGATCCATTCCATTGAACCTCTCCGCTATGTTGCTGAAATTGGAGAAGATGCAATATTTATGTGTAAATTTTCTGGACATCCCACACCATCGGTACTGTGGTATCGAAAAGGCACAGAGGTATAGTATGTTAAAGAGTCGTCGTTGTACTCTATTACATTGCGTCATTGCGACTTAATATTTACAAATCATTGTTACGCCCTCTATTGACGAAGTGGGTTTTTTTACCTCAAAATGCTATAAATGATTTGGCGGATAGTAAATGTCTCAAAAACATTATTTTTCAATTTTCGACACTCCGGACGGCCCCTTTCGTTCACCCATTTACGTCACATGGGCACTTCGTCGCTATTGGGCGTGTTTTATAAAAATGGTATACTATTTATACATTTCTTAGTAACATTTCCATTTTAATATTTTAAAAGAATTTGCTCTTCCCGGGAGGTGGATCGATGGATAGATTCCAAGTGACAGTTGATGGTATGTTAATAATAGACTCCGTTAAGAAAGAAGACGAAGGTGATTATGTATGCAGTGTAATGAACACAGCTGGCAATGACAAATCAGAAAGTTACCTAGAAGTTATTCGTGAGTACAACATATTATTGTTTTGTTAGGTAACAGTCCCGGACATTGAATGTAACCGTTTTCGTTGATGACCACGTGTGAAGTGTAGAGCGTGCATGGGAATACTTCTGTGAGAGGGCTTAGGATGTGTGACAACCATGTTATAATAATAACACTTTAATGCACTGTCCCGGTGTCTAACAGGCCAGGTCAGTCACAATCACCTTCATGCCTTAAAGTTGCATTCCTATTTTACAAATATGTGAAACGTCACTTCCAGAGCGAACAAACCCATTATATGTGTTGAAGTGAAGTGAGATATCATGGCCTCACTTTCCCGCTCATTTCATTTTGAAAGTACTGAAGAGTCCCTTAGGCAAACATACATACAATATCTGATATTCTAGGTCGCCAATCACAACCTCAGATAACAAGTAATGCCTGAGTCCTAACTCAGTGAGTATTTATTGTTTACAAAGTCCCGCTAAAATTCAAATTCTGCCGTTAGTTTCTCATCCACAATCTCAAAGTTTGATGTTGTATGCATGGAATTCCTAGGTCCATGGTGGGTGATATCTCATAGATTTTCGATCCGTGGTACATCGTGGCCATTTCACAATGTAATCTCATCCTTACAATTAATTAAATACAAATTTAGTATATTAGTCTTATTTTTGACTCGCTGTTAACATAACTCTGTACTATGGTATTGGTGATATATGAATGGGTGCCATAGGCTGGTACTTGATGGCAAACCAACCTAGTCAAATATGTATTTTGCATTGTACGAA